TTTTTCAAGATTTTTTTCATGCCTGTGTGTGGACGGACCGTTAGTCTCCTTAGGAAATACAAACGACTCTGACCTTTCTTGTACACTGCGTCTGTGTTTTTAGTCCAACTTATTGTCTACATAGACGCCCAGGTACTAATCCACGATTTCTACCTCTGTTCCATTGATGGTGACTGGGGTCGGGAGGGTCTTCTGTTTCCTAAAATCCACCACCAACTCCTTGGTTTGTGTCACGTTGAGTTGGTTTAGTCCAAATGAGGTTTAATTTAATAGTAATACACAATAAATGAACCTCGAAGTGCAACTAATTACGCTCAGCAGTGAGGAATTTAGTAAAGTAAGGCATTTGGGTAATGCATTACTTTTTTCTGAGTATCTACCCCAAAACTGGGATCTAACGTCACTCAGATGGAAGATTAGATACTCAGATACTTGTTTTTCCATCGGTGACGTGTTTATATAAATGATCTTCCCGTCAGAAGCTGTGGTCTCCTCTCCCATTAACTCCCATCCAAACTATCCCTTCGACGCCAGAAAGCAGTCAACTCTGATGACTCTCGGTCTCTCTTGTTCCATAAACTCTTCCCTAACTCACTGACAAAGCTTCATGCCAGGTGACTTTGTGGCATTTTATGAAAACACATTCACCGCGCTGTAATGACATCGTGATCAGAAACAAGATGTCAGAACGGCTCGGTGAATTATTTGGGGTTTTCTTGTTTTAAGAAGCTGTTCTCCTCCAGAATCTGAACGTATTCGCTGCCCAGAGTGTCAATCAAATGTGCCCATGCTCTCCTGGATGACACGTGTGTATCGGTTAAATAAGTCCTACTGCATATTGAATACTTCAGAGTTAACTATCCCTACATGTCTCATAGAAACAGACTTCTGGGATGTAATTATTGACTTAAATGTGGGTTAAATTTAGTTTAAAAGATGGATTTATCGATATATTTTCTAATTATGGAGAAAATTACTCCTGATCGCTTCAATCCCTGAAAGAAATTGGCATCTACTATTGTAATACACCCAAATATCTGTTGAGTTGCATTGTGGGAAATGTAGGCACCACATTTTGAGACATGTATATCACTATTTAATGATATACACCTGAACATCAGCAGGAGAGGACTCTTTAAAGTAGAGACACTACATACTGATATACACCTGAACATCAGCAGGAGAGGACTCTTTAAAGTAGAGACACTACATACTGATATACACCTGAACATCAGCAGGAGAGGACTCTTTAAAGTAGAGACACTACATACTCATATACAACTGAACATCAGCAGGAGAGGACTCTTTAAAGTAGAGACACTACATACTGATATACACCTGAACATCAGCAGGAGAGGACTCTTTAAAGTAGAGACACTACATACTGATATACACCTGAACATCAGCAGGAGAGGACTCTTTAAAGTAGAGACACTACATACTGATATACACCTGAACATCAGCAGGAGAGGACTCTTTAAAGTAGAGACACTACATACTGATATACACCTGAACATCAGCAGGAGAGGACTCTTTAAAGTAGAGACACTACATACTGATATACACCTGAACATCAGCAGGAGAGGACTCTTTAAAGTAGAGACACTACATACTGATACACACCTGAACATCAGCAGATATGTTTTAATAAGTTCACAGATTTGGTGATGTAGTTTACTGTTGAGCTGAAACTAGATCTGAGGGATGAATACAATATGGTTTTCCCTCAGCCTTGTGGATGAATTTGAATTTAAATGTCAGTGGCCTTATTGCTATGTTTCCCTGTGGAACACCCTTATGAACAGCATGTCATTTGATTTGTCCTATAAAAGCCTGCAGATTTTAAGGTGTTACTACTTTGAAAATTCAGTTTGTATCAAAAAAGCCTGGAGTTTTTAATACAGTGTGCAGATCGTTATGTCTGATTTCACTACCCTCTGTTGCTTCTAACCCTTCAGTCATTTGAAAGTTATCTCCTTTTTAAATGTGAGCGACGTTAAGCCGGGTGCAAATGTTTCAGTAGCCTTCGCCAGAGCCTCTTTACAAACTCATAGCGAGACATGCAACCGCCTGAGCTACTTCCTCAATAAACAATCACCTTATCAGCTGCAAATGTTTTCAGGGCATGAAAATGAAACCTTGAGAAAGTCTCCCCCCTCTCTCGAACACACTGGACAGGAGGGATTAATGTAGATAGAGGCTAAACATCTCCTAAAATGTTTTTGTTAAACGTCGGTATTTTAAAACCTTGACCCCGTGTTCACATGTTTTTGTGTCTAAGTAGATAACGGCAATACAATTTTAGAAAGTGGTCGAGTAGGGAGTGAGAGCAAACAGACTGCAGTTTAATCTTATCTGCAATTCTGCACGTCAATGTGCGTCCGTTAAAGATTTGTTTTTGCCACTAACAGGCTCAGATTGTCAGTATAAGATTACGGTATTATGACAAGGACTCTTCAGAGAAACAAGTTGTTTTTCTTTACCTTTTCTGTCTCACCAAGTCTCGTTCTGAAACCTTGCATCACATTCACACTATTTGAAAATAGGCTACACTTCCTGTTAGTGATACACACTTTGAACTGATACACTCATCTTTTCACTCTCATTTCGGCCGATTGCAGATAAACGGACATACTTAATTTAGCCTGATTGTAGAGCAAGTCTCTCCTGTAGTGGAATAATAATGATATTCGTAGTATGGGAGGGATGAAGCCCTCTTTAATGGTCACACATACAGCATTAAACACAGTGAAATGTGTTCTCTGCGTTTAACCCATCCTAGTACCAGGAGCAGGGGGCAGCTATTGTACAGCGCCCGGGGAGTGAGGGGGGAAGGGGGGTGTCCGGTGCCTTGCTCAAGGGCACCACGGCAGGAGGTCAACTGGGACCTCTCCAAGTGGCAGTCCACACTCCATATTTAGGTCTGGTCGGGGACTTGAACCGGCAACCCTACAGGTCATCATCAATACTCAATCAGACACTAAGCCACAGGAAAGGTTAAACATTTTTTTACCCCTTTTTAAGATGATGGACCTGTTTACGTCGGCCTTACTTGTAATGGAGGAACCAAACATGCCTCATACTACTCATTTTGTTTTAAGAGCCATAGAAGTTATTTTTAAGGGGTTAATCTACTTAACTCAAAGTATTAAAGAGGCCCTATTATACTAATTTTTTTTTTTGTATCTTTCCTGTAGTGTGTTTTATAGGTTTTTGCGCATGTAAATACAAATATGAACCTGAAAATGACCATACCAGGGCTCCGTTTAATCACAGGGGACATTCAGTAGCTTTTATTCTCAAGCCATGGTAACTTTGTCGTTGCATAAGTTTTGCATTTGCAACCAGGAAGTATCATCAAAACGACTCAAGTTACA